CAGCCTCCACAGTATCTTCCGCAGATGCTCCTCATGCGTCTGCAGATCCGGTGAGTAGATGAGAAGGTCATCGATGAAGATGATGACAAACTCTGGGGGAGTTTGATGACATGTATTTTGGTGACATTTTGGTATAGGATGTCTAGTGCATTTTACTCGGTTTTGCATATTTATAGGCATTCTAGAGCACAATTGGTCTCGATATTGCTTGGTTGCTTTCTTTGGTGTCAAAACAGGTATTTATGCATAAAAGAGAGCAAAAGGAGTGGAAAACATGGACTACGGAACATCCCAGACGAAACGGGAACATTGGAGTTGTTCCGGAGAAAAAACATGAAGCCTAAAAAGTCAGATCTTGCAAGTCCAATAACTTCCACTCTATAAGTCCAAATCACGTGTTCTCTACCTCATTGAAAAGCTCTCTTCAATATCTACGCATAGACACCAAGATCGCACAAATCCGACATTGGAGCAGAAAGTTATGAGCAAATCTGTCAAGCATGTTCGAGTTGAAGAATCGACACGGACCGTGTTGCATTCGACACGGCCGTGTTGTGTCCGTGCTGAAAAAAGTGAAGTTTTGCTCAGAGAATTGACACGCACCGTGTTGGCATTCGACACGGCCGTGTTGATTCAAACTCGGCCGTGTTCAACCCAAGTCTAAAGTGCAGATTTTGAACAGAGAATTGACACGGACCGTGTTGCATTCGACACGACCGTGTTGCATTACAGGAAAACTTCCTATTTTGCATCCGGACTTCCGTTTTCAGCAAAGGAAGAAGCCCAGTTGCCAAGCAAATAAATAGGAGACGTCTTGAGCTTCAGAAATCATCGAGAGATCACAGGAGAAGCCAGAGAACTCGAGAGAGAATCAAGACGGAGTTTCCCGGGAGCTGAGATTGAAGAATAGTCGTCGAGAGATCGCTGCGAGTCTTCTTTATCTGTTTCTATGTTTCTTCTTATTGATTTGAACTCGTTCGTTGTTATGGGTAGTGAGTAGTCGTTTCACTGTAGCTAGGGATTTAACCTTGTAGGGATTTGTTTGGTTTTTATTTTCCGAGACTACGTTATCGATACTCTTCGGTTTAATTGAATTGAGTTTATTGCTTTTGATCTTCTTGACCAGTTGATTGATTGATTATAGATTCTGATTTGCAACGAGAGTTGAGATTAGATTCGGAATGAATTCATTGAATGAATTGATTAAGACTATTGAGAGATAGGTTAATCGGTTTAGGAACTGTGATAGTGATCGTTAATGCATTTGATATTTTAATCTATTAGGTTGAGAGATCGATAGGTTAAACTATTGGATAGTGGATTTAGGACTTGAGAGAGCCAAATCTGATATTAGAACTTGAGATCCCCGATTAGAGTTCGAAGCACATGACAAAGACCAGGAGGAAACCATACGAGTGTCTGAAGAAACTACGCAAGAGAACAACTTGCTTGAGGAGCAAGCAACAGTCAACGAAGACCAAACAACCCAAGGGAACAAATCGGGAGAAGATATTCTAGGAGATTAGCCGTTTGGTAATTGACTTCTTATCACAATAATTTAGCTCCACCTAAATGTAAATTTACCTTATAATTCTTTCTGTTTATTTTATTTCCTTTTCTTTGTACTTTACCTTTTTATTATATATGCTGCACATACACGATGTAAACATTATCGAAGATTATAATCAGAGTATTGTTTTCCCAGAGCTTTCTCCTTCGATCTCTTTTGTCTTTTTGGATTCAATCCTAAAATCTTCACATGGTATCAGAGCAAGATCCATGGTGACCACTATTCTTTTTTCCGCTGCATAGATTTTTCGAAAAAAAAAAATATCCCTCTTGTCAAATAAACACCGCAGGAGGAGAGAAACATGTCATACCAATTGGCATATGAAGATTTCAAGGTCATAGCAACCTTTGAGTACATCCGCAAATTCAAGTTGCTCCAAAATGTATGGAGTAACATGCTTGAAGAACAAAGAGACAAGGCGTTCAAGGGTGTTTGGGATAGAATCAAGGAGCTTCATCCCGATCTAAGCATCGAAACGTGTAAACTCTATACCTTTCTTGGATTTTTGGATGGTATACACAACAAACTAATCTTGCAGGTTATAAAAGCCAAAGGGAAAATATCCCTCATGGAAGCAAAAATGATGTGGTGCGAAGAACGCACTCAAAACATCATAAA